CGTATAACTGCTTGTGATTGGCTGAATAAGACAGCAGGAGAGCATCGTCGTTCTCTCTCTAGCTTGCCAAGTGCCAATCACAAGCAGCTGTACGTATGTATAAATATATGTTCTAAGCCGTTTGTTTACATGCAAGAAATGTTGCCTGATTTTGGCTAGAGGGGGCGCAACCTCTGCATCGGCTCGGAGCGAATAAACCCAAAATCAAGCGGTGAAAGTGTTATTTTGAGGTTAGAAGGCGGAAAAATACCATTAAACTTATGTATGAAGAAGCTTTTTTTACATAAAATAAAAATTTTAATAAATATTTGTATATATTCAACCAGACAAAATACGACCTCACTCTGCACCCTCGAAGAAATAAATCATAGGATACGCGACTTGGGCACCTGAGCGCACTTTTCGCCGTTCGAGTGCTTTCGCGGACCTCGACGGTAATGAACACTCCCGCTCTCGGGCCGAAAGTACTCAGCACGCGGGCGATGCGCCCGTGGATGCTAAGTAGCTCTTTGCGCCATAATAGCAAAGTAGTTATATTATTATGTGGTTATTGAAGAAATAATTTTGCTTTAGTACATGACTCCGAATTTTTATTTTAATATCCCAACCGTTTTAAATCTTGATTTTTTTGTAACCACAAACTGTTCGTGGCAGATTTCTTCGTAGGTTAATTGTTACGAAAAATACTCGATCTTCAATTTTTTTCAAATTGTTTGTGATTCTCTTATAATATTTTCATACGTCTCGTAATATACATAACCATAGTCTACGCTGCGAACGTTTATAGTTTCTCTTATACTTTGGGATTACTTGAAAAGAAGATAATAGAAACAATTATTAAAAGTATCAAAAATAAAGTTTAATTATGGCGTACGTACAATTTTTTTAGTGAGATTTAATTACGAAAATCGCTCTATTCAAATATATGTTACATTTCCAGCTTCTTCAGGCGGTGGCAGTTTAATGAAAATTCGGTATCGTGGAAAATTGTCAACTTTTTGAAAATTTACTGGAAAAGTATTTTTCGGATAATTTGGCCCCTAATACTTTTATCGATCTTCATTGAAAATGAAAACTCACCGGTAATGTACCAAATAAATATCTATTTGAGTAAATTTAATTAACTTTCGTTTATATTGTACAAATACACGAAAAATATTTACATCTGTAAAGTTGCTTATCATACATCTGCAAAATTGATTGGCTGGAACACTTGTTCAATAAAACGACGGACAAAAAAATATCGGCGATGGGATTACATGCATGTGTACCTAGGTGTGGTTTGTAATTTTAGAAATCAAGATGTGGTTATGTGGTGCTGCTGATGGCCGGGTACTGGGTGACGGAGTGCCTGCCACTGCCAATGACGGCCCTCATGCCCATAGTGTTGTTCCCGTGCCTCAACATTTTGAGCATAAAAGACACTTGCGAGTGTTACATGAATGACCTAGTGATGTACTTCATTGGGAGCCAAATCCTCGCCATCGCCATCGAGCACAGCAAACTCCACCTGCGCGTTGCCCTCAAGATCATGCAGGTCTTTGGTTACACTCACAAGCGCCTCTTAGCTGGTACCATTTTGGCCACAACATTTTTGTCTATGTGGATGACAAACACCGCGGCCACTGCAGCTATGCTCTCCATCATACTATCCGTTTTGGGTGAATTTGAGAGGGTTTGTATGCCAACAAAGTATCGTTACTAACGACATTGCATGAGTATTAGTTACATCATGTTGATCATCATTTTTTTTATTTTATTTTTATATTAAATTTTCAAATTTCTTTGGTTTGCACAGGAAGGATTTGGACAGGTGTTTTACACGATCGAGGATCCTGAGTCGTCAAACAGGTGATAAATTGGAACCGACAGTCATTTTCTTTTTTAAATATATTCCTTGGTTTAAAGAACCACTTAAACCACTTGTCGACTTAATTGTATTGGTTTTTGAATCTATTATACTTAGTGAACTTATGGCAACGGAACTGACATCGGGCTATCTCATGGCGGCGGCTTATGCAGCGACTTTGGGTGGCACAGCGACACAAGTTGGTACAGCGACAAATTTCGTTTTTAAGGGCATTTTCGAGAATACATTCCCTAGTGGCCCTAAAATTGGATTTACTCAATGGATGAGTCATGGGGTACCCTTGGCTTACCTCAGTGCCCTGATAATGTGGCCATGGTTGATATTATTGTGTTTTATCAAAGTCAGTGAGACACGAGAGATCATTAGGTTTGATACAATGACCATCGAAAGCAAAAAAGCCATGGAAAGGGTTAGTATTGTATTACAATTGGAATTAATTTAATGTCAAGCACATGCCAAAAAATTGGTCTTTTCCATATTTATAATTTTAACAAATTCAAAACATATGTAGATTATCAAGCAGAAGTACAATGATCTGGGAAGAATATCAACTCACGAGTTGGGCGTAGCTGGTATGTTCGTCCTCGCAGTTACCTTGTGGCTTACATACCGACCCGGATTTGTGTCGGGCTGGGCCGATGTTATTATACCTGGAGTGTGAGTGTTACCATGGTAGTCTATAGCTTTCCAGGTTATCCTAAACATCTTGTATTTTTGCATGTCAATTGCAGGACAATTCCAGAATCGGCTCCTATAATGTTGGTGGCATTTTTAATGTTTTTCATTCCGAAGGATCTTAAGTTTTGGAACATTTGTAGCAACGATGGTATGTCAAATTTTGTTCTTATGATTTTCTTTGTCCATCTCTGAGCCATGAGCTCAAAGCCAACTCATATAATAATTATTTATTAGTATGAGACATCATTTGTATTAATAATAGCTATTATTTTGCGGCATCACCCACATATATGATGTTTGATGCATTAAAGAAAAACAATTTTTAATGAAAATGATAATTATAATATTAATATCACATTTAGCAAACAAAAGGCCTAAAACTTCATCTGAAGGTCTCGTTACGTGGAAAGAAATTCAGACCAAAATTCCCTGTGACGTAATAATTCTGTTGGGGAGCGGCCTCGCCATCGCACAGGGTGTAATACTATCTGGTTTGGCCATGGAGATGAACATTTATATGAAGAAATTGAGCAAGTGGAACGGTTATTATTTAGTAACGTATATTTTGATGCTCATGGCTCCACTTACGGGACTTGTGTCAGATATTGCATTTGCCAATATCTTACTTCCTTTTATACTTATTATGGTAATAACTATTTTATTATTCTATATTATTTGTTGACGTAGAGTAAGTAAAAACATGTGTATATTTTAAATTTTACATTTTTATATTGGCTGTTAAAAAAGCTCTGATGCCGTAAAGGTTAGCGTGCCAGCCCCCTAGCCGAAAGAAATCGAGGTGCCGTAGGTTCGAATCCCATCGAAAACTACCGTCATTTTTCATTTCGGGATTTTCCGGTGGGATAAGTATCTAGGATGTATTGAAAAACCATTTATCCAATTTAAAAAAACAAATAGTGCATTTTTCTGGGGATGAGTGGCCCTACAGGGAATTCTTTTTCGAGTAAAGCCAACATCTGGCCAGCTCATCGGTAAAGTCACTTTTGGTTAAAAAAATGGTTCATTGGAAGTGATCCTTCCATTAAACCATATAATAGCTGTGGCACGCTTGAGACGATTGCTATGCGGCCTGCAAATACCAAGACAAATCGCACTAAGAAATTTCCACTAGGGGCCTCGCATAAAATCTCTCTTTATGTATACATGTGTTTGTTAATGAGATAAATTAAATTTCGCAAATACATTAATGTGTACGTGCAAATGTTAACTAATATTACTATTTTAAATGTAGGCTATGGCTGCAGAAGTGATTCCTCTGTATTTCATGGCACCAGCAACAGTAATATGCTCGTACTCATTTCGTTGGTTAAGAGGAGTGCCACAGAATGCCATTATTGTCGAGTCTGGACATGTACCAGTCAAAACACTGAGATCAGTGGGAAGGACCTCATTTTATTTTAGTTGGCTACTGGTATATCTTACATTCCATGAATGGGCTTCTCATGCTTACCAGCAGCCCCTATATTTTCCAGTCTGGGCCTTGATAGAATGCACTCATTTTATGGGCAAGCAAGATCATATTGACTGTAACTAACAACAATAATAAATACAAGGAGCTCTGAAAGATACTAAATACTAGATACTATTTACCTGTCGTGGACAATAAAATCTCTGTTGCATTAATCTTTTTTTTTAGTTAGTTGAAAAACAAAAGGCTTAATAAAACAACTAATTGTAAAATTTGTATATGTACGTGAATTTTGGTCAATAAAAACTCAAACAAATCTACTAAATTCTTAGTTTGTCTCCAACACGAGAGGGAACCACTTCTACGTATGAAATGATTGACAAAAAATTTCTATAGGCAGCATTCACCATTAATCCTTAAATTATCGGTATGGCTGTGTGAGTATAGGTAACCTATGGTAGAAGTTGATTGTAAAAAATATTTTCAAGAACAACTCCCTATATTTATTTGAATACCAGCAAATTAAGGGACACGCGTTCCCTCATTGAGTTTGAGGACTCAGTTTAGTACTTGTTCGAGGTAAGAGCACTATACTCACTCCTAATTCTGATTTTAAAATTTATTTTTTACTTAAAATCAAGTGTTTTTTCATTTTACTCGAAATATTTTCATAATTCATGTGATCCATACATCCAGCGTATAAAGTAGCAAATAAAACTTTTATTAGAAAAAAAAAAGCTAGGAATCAGATACGATACTTTGAATGAAAAATTAAATTTTAAATTAACATGTTAAATCAAGACTTTTTCTCACCTTATCGTCTTAGAAAAAACAATAGTAGTTTATTTAAATTTTTTTGTAAACTATCATTATTTGTCCAGTATACTTAATTGTATTTATTTTACTTTTATGATAGTTTAGTACGATTTTTGTTTGTGTTGGTTTTCTAAAGATTCAAATCACCTGTTTTGAAACTACTGAGGTGTATCTATACGTTTCTTTGATACAAAAGAAAATCCGTATTATTCAATTATTTTTCATACCATTTATTTTGACATTTACGATGTACAGCACATACTAGAAATAACCAAAAAATGGTTAGTGTTAATGATAATTTGCACAAAAAAGTTTGATTTGCTGTAAGAAACTTAGTTCAAGACACTTAAGCATACATTGTTTAAAATTAAAGTAATCACCGTCACAGTGTGAGCTGATGGCGTATGTTTCCCTAATTATCGGTTAAACTGTAAAAAGCAAACTTTCATTAACGTTTCTTTTAATACTTTTGCTTGTACGTTTTAGGATAGATAATGAAGAGAAGTCACTGCTGTCGAGGACAGGTCATTTTTTCAGAATTTACTGGAAAAGTATTTTTGTACTCCTTTGGCCCTTCATATGTTTACCATACGTTATTGCATGCGACAACTCATCGGTAGTACGTCAAGCCTTTAATTATTTCGAATCACATTTTTTTACATTGTAAGCTAATCAATAACTTGATTGGTACAAATGGCACAAAAAACCCCGAAAAAATTATCAATCGTTTTAAACAGTACAATGTGCATGTTTGTACCTATTTGCATTCAAGTTATAAATTAAGTGTATTTCTTGTTAAAATGAACAGGAATCGAGATGTGGTTATGTGGTGCTGCTGATGGCCGGGTACTGGGTGACGGAGTGCCTGCCACTGCCAATGACGGCCCTCATGCCCATAGTGTTGTTCCCGTGCCTCAACATTTTGAGCATAAAAGACACTTGCGAGTGTTACATGAATGACCTAGTGATGTACTTCATTGGGAGCCAAATCCTCGCCATCGCCATCGAGCACAGCAAACTCCACCTGCGCGTTGCCCTCAAGATCATGCAGGTCTTTGGTTACACTCACAAGCGCCTCTTAGCTGGTACCATTTTGGCCACAACATTTTTGTCTATGTGGATTACCAGTGCCACGGCCACTGCCATGATGGTGCCCATCGTATTAACGATACTAAGTGAGCTCGAAAGGGTATGTATAATATGTTGTTAGTTATATTTTAAATATTTCATGGACATACCTACTTATTACTCCGTATCACTCGTTAAATTACTTTTTGTTACGTTAAATAATTTCTACTTTTCCGATTGATAACATTTATTTCAATTTTCCAGTTTAAAAAATTTGTTCCATAATTAATAATATTAACCTTTAAAATACTTTCCAGTTCAAAGCATAGAATAAGAGTCCGAGAATAAATAATTTTCGAGCACTTCCGTCTATAATTTAAATGCTTCGGTATCGTTGAGTACATACGAATACATGATTTATATTTAATTGTATTAGTACATGGCTAATAAATTAAGGCAATGCTTTGTTTGATATTGCTTCGTAAATCGAAAAAAATGTGGCGAGGTATCGAATTCAACAACATTGTAGATACACCCATAGTACTCAACATTATATGGCTGCTGTCTCAAACGTACCCTAAAATGTTTTAACTCACTAGTGCTAAGAGCTTCTCACTTCTTCTTTATCAGAAAAAATAACACTCCCGACCCTTTGTTGAAAAAACAATACATTGTTTTGTATCGTATAGGTGGATATTGGAAAGGTGTTTCACAATTTAAGGAATCCGGAAGATGCAAACAGGTGAAGGAATGGGAATGGAAAATCTTTTCATCGCTGACTAATCCATACTCGGTAGCTCAAAGTTGATTCCGGTATACGCATTGTAGTGGACCGATACCAACCAAGGTGACAATGGCCTATCTCCTGGGGATGGCTTATGCAGCGACTTTTGGTGGCACTGCTACTCTTTTCGGCACCGCCACGAACCTCGTCTTCAAGGGCATCTTTGAGCAAGTCTTTTTGTGTGCCCCCAAAATCGGATTCGACCAGTGGATGCTGTACTCAGCACCACTGGCATACGCCAACGCGTTCATCACTTGGTTGTACTTGATAGTCATGTACTTTGGCGAGGTCGAGCCGAACGGACATTACGCTTCGATCGACACAATTGGTAGCGAAGGTGCAAACACCGTCAAAAGGGTTATTATCAATTTTACTTTCATCAGTTTCATCACTCGCATCTCATGACTAGTCACTTGTGAATATAATCAATGAATTGTTGGAAAAAAATGAATGCCACTCGTGTAGGTTCTCAAGGAAAAGTACGACGATCTCGGAAAGGTGACCACTCACGAAGTGGGAGTAGCCATTACGTACATTACCGTGGTTGTTCTGTTGCTGACGCGCAAGCCCGGATTCGCGACCGGCTGGGTCGATATCATTCCTGGAAGGTGAGTGTGTTCAACGTTTTCCAAAAATGTCACGGAAAAATATATAAACCATAACTTAAGTCGTCAAGACATAATGTACTGATTTCATTTTCAAAATTGTTTGTTTGTTTAACTAACACGAAAATTTGACGATGGGATATCCTTCAAAAAGTATTATACGTATTTCGAGATAATTTTGATTGAAAATCAGTAAAAAACTTTATCTTCCAAAGTTCAAATTAGATCTAAATGTGTTATTATCCCTACCTTTTTTTTCGTTTTAATAAGCTTCATTTTATATAGTGTATCGATGAATTGTTTTCTGGAAACATTTTTTGAGGTCTAGTGTTTGATATTGTCTAAAATATCTGTTGTTTCACGTCAACAGAAAAATTCCAGAATCGGCACCGATGATATTGGTACTCCTTCTTATGTTCTTAATTCCGAGGGATCTTAATTTTCTTAACATTTGTAGTACAGATGGTAAGTTGTAATTTTTTCAACAGACACGCGAAATTACCTCTCTAGAAGATACATTTAGAAAAAGTACTAAAAATACTCTCGCCAAGAATACAGGGAGGGCGATCAGCTTACCTCAATGTCGATCGAGTATGAAAATTTACGTAAAATCAAAGATTAAATTATTAACAATACCTGTACATATTTACCCTCAATGAAAATGGAGAGCAAGTTGATCGCACTTCTGACCTCTGGTATTAATTTTTTTATACCTTTTAATTAACATACATGGCAGTAAAATAAATATTGAATAACATTGCAGAAAATAAGATACCAAAAGCGCCATCGAAGAGTCTTATTGCTTGGAAGTTAGTTGAGACCAAAATACCCTGGGGATTGATGTTTCTACTGGGGGCCGGAGTTGCCATGTCACAAGCTATCAAAAAATCGGGACTAGCAGAGACGTTGGAAAAATCGATGACTCCAGTGCAGAGTCTGAGTGCTTTTGATGTTTTAGTGATTGTTTGTATCATCGTGGGCACAATCACGGAAGTCACGCCCGAAATCGCTAGAGCAAACATTATGCTACCAGTTGTAGCTTCGATGGTATTTATTTGTTGTTTTTCTTAATTATTTCATAGTATGTACACCATCATTTTGTTGATTTTTATTTAATTGGCATTTAACCATCAGTATTAATATTTATACATTTATGTAGTGCTGTTATCGGTAATAATTTTAATAAGAACATAATTATTGATTTGACACAGGCTGTTGTAATGAAAGTAAACCCACTGTGCATCATGATGCCGGTGACAATTATGTGCTCGTACTCGTTTCGTTTGCCTACCGGAACAGCATCAAACGCCATAATTACTGAAATTAGTCGTTTGCCGAGAAAAAAATTTATGTACGGTGGATGTTGCCCCTCGATTTACAGCCTTCTGTTGGTAATTTTTTGTGGTTATTGGATTATTTATGTTAACCAAACAGAAAAGCTACCGTATTGGGCCCACTTGAAGAATCATATTGATGAAGACACATTACGGAATCAAACCTGTGACAGTTTCAAATTACATAAACTATAAGTAAATACTTAAATGAATGAGTGATTCTTTTATATCATATTGAAAATAAATATTTTATCGAAATCATCGAAAAAAAAAAAATAATAATAATAAAAAATACTTTAAACATCTTGTTATCGAGATACACGGGAAAACTATGCGTTGCATTATTACTTAAAATTATAAGAAACTTTTTTTGCTTATAATAATTCAAGGAAAGCAATACGTTGTAATTGTAAAAGAACTTGATTGTTCTTACATTGTTTACAAAAGTTGTTGATTGACTTAACCATTTCTCCGGAAATTCTTTATTTTTCAAAGTAAAAAAAAAAAACGAATGCATCGAACAACATTTGGCGTTCGTTTGCACTATTTGTAAATACGCGCGCGTAGTTGCAGAACAGCCGGGATCGCACTGCGCGTGCGCGAACCACGGACGTAAGCAGCACAAAAGTAGTATCATCTATATACCTCGGAGTTTAGACATCAACATCATGGGTACGTTAAGCCGCGCGTAAGAACTGTAAAAAAAGAGTGCATCAAGAGTAACGAGTCAGTGTTGGTCAGGTGTGTGCATTACATATAACGTGACGGGACGACGCTAACAATAACGACGACGTCGAAGACAGGAAGGCTTGCTGTTGCGTTACGCGTTTCGCTCAGCGGTAAGTCATTGAAAAAAGTTTCAATATTATGTTTCTACCCACACTTGCGTAACCGTAGATATCCACTTTTATCACCAGCTGCGATACGTTTTTATATTTATACACGCGATTGATAAGCAATGAGCCGGTAAGTGGCACAACGGGTAAACCTATAGCAAGTACCGCTGTCTGTAGTAGAATCAATTGAATGACGGCTGGCTGTTTCTTTTCTTCTTTTTTTTTTTTTTTTTTTTTTTTTTGTAAATTCTCCCTCCCTTTACAACCTCTTTGAATAGAGCTTTGTTTGTTACCGACTCCCTTGATAGCTGTTGTCTGCTAGATAAGCTTATCAGAGCGTCTATCTCTACACGAATCTGCCAGAGCTTTTGTGGCATTGATCTATACGTAAACAAGAGGGTGGTCCGATCTCGGGGATGGTGATTTTGTTGTTGCGAGGGAGCTGGAAGGGCGGGAGCCACTGCTCCGTGTATCTCGTCCCCTCCCGGCGGGCGGTGTTTGTTTTGGTCTGCTGTTGTTGTCCATTAAAATTTTGTATTCCAATCAATGACTAAAAAATAACAGCCCCGCGTTATCACTTCTTATCTCTTTATCAGTCGACAATCTATTAGTCAGCTGTGATAGGCACCATAGGGAGTGGAACTTCTCTTACTGTGACATATATTCAGCAGCACAACAACCACTGTGCGGAATCTAACCTCAATTTTTTTTTTCACCTACGTACACATGTACAGTGTCCTCTCGCTTCCTTCCGCTGCCTCAAAAAGCCGTAACATACCTACTTATCTTATAGATTCAAATTAATTTTTGTATGCTTACGTGCTCGAGCAGCTGACTCCTATATGTATATTGTATGCTTCGAGGGTATGCGCATCATCGCACGAGCGTCTGCTATGACTGACACTTTGTTTACGAATTGCCATCGATCGGGTTTTTTTTTAATTCGTCACTGTACCTACTTTGCTACTGCTTTGATCGCGTATCGCGATAGATATCTGATCGAATTGCTTTACAACACTTCTCTTTCATACTAATGTACTCAGGATTTTCCACGAAATTATTCAAACAAAAAATTTCATTGTTATTTATTTTATACTGTTTTAAAAGTTTCGACCTTGTTTCTTAGACCATTAAATTTAAACGATTAGACTTATAGTTTAACACTTGTGTTGTTTTTTTTAAATGCTATTTGAGTACATTTACAAGCAACGCATGGTTGTACTACTAATATCTTATTAATCGCGTGAATCAATCGACGAGCACTCCAAGTGACAGAAATATGATAAGACCTTACATGTTTTTTTTAAGACACGTGTGGCCTTCAACAATTCGTTGATCGAGTAAGTTCGAAGCGTCAGTTTTCGTATTACGTTAATCTTAAACCCTACTAATTAGTTGTGACTTGAAGTAGAACAAATTCTCATCCAGTAATTTAATTTTCAAGAAAATGTATATCTTCTTTTATTAATTAGGCATTTACTAATTTAAATACATCCAAGAATTATTATTTCTGAACAATTTTTTTAAGAACTAAGATGTATAATCTAATGAAAAAACACTTGATAATGTCAAGAATTTTTATCGGGTTTTATCTCCTGACTTTTGTAAACAGAATTTCATAAAATAATAGCGAGAGCGCTGTGTAATACATTGTATAAATTGAAAAAATTATACAGTCAAAAATTATTTCATTTTCTTTATCATTTTATCTATTTAAGTAAAGCTTAAGTAAAAATTGAAACAGAAAAAAAGTTAATTTGAATTGGTTTACTAAAAAAATAAAAAAAAGTTTTAAAAAACACCAAAAACAAATTTGAAAATTTCGTTCAGCCTACAGTTTCTTTAGTAGGTCATTAATGCTTTTATTGGTATAAGTAGAAACTCTTAGATAAAATTTTTTTATTGTAAGTATACAAATTTAACATTATATAAACTTTTGTATAAAATATTTGTTTTAAAAATACGTAATGAAGCTCTTACTATATCGAGATAAATTAGTGTAGATAACTACTTCCTAATATATACTTCATTTACGTTTGTTTTACATTATGCGTTATTATGAGAGAAATTTCCCTATTACATTTTATTTCCGAAAAAAGCGATAAGCAGTAAACAAGCACTTACAGTAAGTAACGCAGCACTAGTTTTGAATGATGAGTTGCACAAATCGGTGTCGCAACATTTTCGTTTTAGTTCATAGTCATTTCTCTTAATAGTCTCCTCCTTTCTCTCACAAATGGGCTTTACAGGTGCACACGATCTTGAAAATGTTTCGCCGTTTTTGTCCTCTAAGATTTACAAAAAAAAAAAAAAAAAAAAAAAACTTTAATATCTTTAAATAAAAAATAATTTCAATGAAATGTTCTATGATTAACTACTTACTGCTTACTACCGTCATACAATTCCAGATTTCGTTGCCTGCAGCATAATTATAATCGTCCGCGGGGATATTGAAAATTTCTGTGGACATAGTCAATAACATATAAATACATTTAGAATTTGGACAATAAAAAATGTAACTTGCTATAACAAAACTAAAAGACGGTAGAGTTACCTTTGATGCCCGGATGGTCCTTTTGCATTGAAAACTGTTGACTGCTACACTCTACGATGGTGGCAGTCTTATTAGGATTTGTTCTGCAGTCAGAATTTCTGCCATTGTCGTAGCAGTTATAACACTTTATGCCAAGCACTGAAAATACGTATACAAATGAAATATATTTGTGTAAAATTTTGTCGTGAATATAATTAAATTGTAACCTTCACTTGCGCAGTACGAAAGGATTAGAGTGAACGTGATAATATTCCAATAAGATAACATTTTAGCTCTGATGGAGTCGTCAAGGTGTTACTTCGTCAACGCTCAACACGCGAATGAGCAGCTCTGACCAACATTTACTCGTGTGAAATTCTTATGTGACGGGTATGTACATCACAGAGATAAGACGCTACATTTACAAATAAAACGCCGTCGCTGGGTAAAAAGGACACCGGTGCGGTATTCTTATGAATCATTTCACAAACTGCATGACTAAAGCCACCATCGTTTGTTCAACATCAAACAATCGCGTCGCGCTCAACGAGGAAGTTCTCTTTTATTTTTCCAGGCGCTATTTCAAGAAGTGAGTAATATTATACACATACTCGACGGAAACATGTTATTGAATTCGTTTTTTGAAGCAACACATGTCGAATTCTGTACGCACTTAGCGAGACGATGCGATACGTTTTGAGCCTTGTTAGATCCAATCCTCGTATCCCACGTAGGATGGCTTCCGTACGAAAAGTCGCCGACAAGGAATATAATATACAAGATCTCTTGAGTTGCGGAGGCGCGGTTAATTGCAGAATCTCGTGCACGCGTGTGCATGTACCTCTTCGTCGTGCAAAGTTGGCATGTAGCACACCGGCAATGGGTATAACAATTCCGATCGGCTGTACTGTCTCTCGGTCGCTGTGCAACGAGCGGTAAAAATAGGCGTTGCCGATCGCCATGGCTAATAACATTAGGTGCTCGTAAGACGCGGACACCGCGTCTACGTTCCTATGTAAAACTTCTTGTGGATCGTATAATGAGAGGAAAAGGAGTAGCTTGTATTAGTCGAGTTTATGGAGTGTGGAAATATAAATAAAGCGAGGGAAGGAGAACGAGAAGAAATAGATATAGCGACAGGCGGATGTGCGTGCCGTGAATTGTACACGTAAAACCCGAAATGTATTGGCCGCGTTGTCGAATGTTACTCTTTTGTTACCTCTTGCTTTGCTTTTTATTTCTTTACCTTTTGCAGATAAAAAGCCTTTAGAAGTTATTTTAACATTTCGTATTCTACGAGAGCTTTCGCAGTCGTGAATGGACCTTTGGCACTTATTTAACAGACAATAAAGTCGAAAATAGAATCAGTCCTTCGATTTCGTATATTATCTCAAAACCGGTATAACCACTTATTTTTATTTATTAATAAACCAGCTCCTGTAAATTAACCAACTTTTTTATTGATATGCGGTTACAAGCGCCGAATCGTGAGATACAAATAAATACATCGATGCCGTCTCGATAAAATATATCAATAGGGGTACCGTGCGGAACAAATTAATTGATCGTCAATCGTTGCGGTAATTTTTGCGAAGAAAAAAAAAGTCTTTGAGGCGATTCAGAGTGTGACTGGAGTGCATAGTGTTGAAATAAGGCATGCTCCTTTAAAACATAAGCTTTCTTATAAAATACTGAATTTGGTTTCATGTTGGATTCCCGATGTTGCATTATAGCATTAAACATTTTAGCTTTTAAAAAGTTTATTCCATTTCACGTAAAATGTATATTTCTGTGTTAGCAACAATAAATGATAAATTTTATAATGAATTGAAGCTCGTGATATCTGATAACATGTATGTTATCACTGACACACTTTTTACGAGCATAACATACAGTATTAAAAACCGGAACATGGCGATACAGTAAAACTAACACTGTGCAAGCAAATTGCTTGTGCTTGCTAACTTTATCTAGTAGAGTTACACAAATTTTTGACCTTTTGAATCAGATACAGAGATATTTTTTTACAGAATAAGACCATTAGAGTGTAAAAATGAATAAAACTAGATAAAATTATTTTTATGAGTAGGAAATATAAAACTCCAAAAACAAATTTGAAAATTTCGTTCAGCCTACAGTTTCTTTAGTAATCACACAAATACATAGGTTGGTATAAAATAACTAAAAAGCATTAAAATTTATATTGCAGCACTAGAAAAAAAATCAAGATTAACTATCAATAACGTATACCGATGTATACTTTTTAATTGGAGAATAATTATTCAGACAATCGTTTAAACATCCAATCTATGCATTGAGATTTTACTGAAATGTAATAATTAGACACCAAATTTCACTTCCAAAACAAAATGAGAAATATCAAAGAAGCGCCAAGGGTGAGTAATCCAGCATTGGTTTTTAATGAAGAGTTGCATAAATCCGTGTCGCAGCATTCTATTTTCGTTTTTACTCCATCGCGTTGCGACACGTGATTCAAACAATTTGTCGTACACCCTTTAGAATTCTTCACTTCGTTTTTGTACGCTATAACAAATAAACAAAAATTTGCTTGAGTTTAATCAAATTAAGTAATAATTGATAATTTTTATATAAAGAACACACTAGTTGTCTGTGTGAAGCAACCCCATTTTGGCTGGCTTGCGTCTTTTTTCTTATCACCAAGATGGAAATCTAAAAAGTTGACGCAGTTAAATCAAGTGTGAAAGTGATTATCAATTATTTTTCAAAAGCTACAAAGTTACACCTTATTAATTGAATTGTGTAAGTTTTTGTGTTTACCTCCAAAGTTGGGAATAAACAGATTTTCGTGCGGAAGATTTTCATAACTACACTCTTTAATACTGGAATTTTCGATATATATATTGTGCAGTTTATGCTATTGTGGCTATCAGAGCAATGATAACATTTCAATCCGTGAGCTGCAAATATGCATCAATAAGACAATAAGACATACGTGTCAAATAATGTTTTAAAAATGAATAAACTTCTACCACCACTCATGAAGTACGACATAATCAGGATAAACGTCGGGATGTATCGAACGTAGAACATTTTTGTATCGATGGATCGACGACGCCTTACTTTTTCACTTCCAACGAATATCTTTGACTAACCATTCCGAACCATTCTATATTATACGTGTACCGTTTTTATATGACTGATGGTGGATCGATAGATGTAATTGCGTTTGCAGATGGAATCTGAGATTATTTTTCTTCCCATCAGTGAAAAAAATAAGTAACAAGATCAAGAAAATACCGAAAAATTTTTCGAAGTGCATGTCCCGAAGCAGAACTGATCAATTAAATATTTATTTCTTTAAAATCTTAACAGTTTTCAGCGAGATACGTGCCATTTACATTTAACGGCTCCCTCTTCTGATACAGTTAAAATTTACTCACAAGCTAAAGAAGTAAATGTTAAAACATTCAAAGCTCCAAAAATCTGTGGTTCTTGTTGGATGATTTTGAAAATGTTAACATTCTTTTATTACAAATATCACATAAGCAAGACTTTTTAGGTATGCAAGCTTTTAATTTTAACAATTCCTTTTTATTTCATCAACCAACTGAACATATTTATAAAAATAACGTGTACTAATATAATTCCATTAACTGTTTTAACCAAAGAGTACAAACTGGAGATAATAAGTAAAACATTTTTACAAATTAACAATGTCGTGTAAATCCAAACTCTTCGCACGCTTTATATTTCATGGGCCATGTAAAATGAAGTACAATTAAAAAAAGCGCTCCCTTGAGAGGCTCGTATCCAAAATCAGCTGTAGCAGTCGTAGCTGTCGCTCTTCAATTATAGAGGTATACAGCCGGAAGAGAGCGGGGAGTTATGGCTACTTGCCAAGCTTCTAATCGTCGTCTGGTTGTTGTGACAATCGATAATCTCTCCTCTTGCTTCCACGATGTGTCCTATCTTTTTGCCATTCGCTTTTCTATCTTTTGGTTAAAAGTTACTTTTGTCAATACCTAATAATCTGTACACGTATGACGAAATACAAAGATGTGTATCTTTTCGATTGTAGTATCGTATAGTCGCTGGACACAACATTTTTTTTGTTTTTTCAAGATACCGAGATAAAAAAATTCGTCATTGGAGCGTTAGAGCCCGTGTATCAGCGGTAACCATCTTGCTTTGGCATACATTCACGTAGAGGATTTTTGTGACGTTTGCGGGGCTCTCCTCCGGCCGAGCGGCGCGTTTTAATTTAAATTATCCTCGCGAGCTCGTAAATCGTCTCTCTCATATTACGACGCTGTTTCATCACTCGCAGACCATAAAGTGTATAAGAGTAATAACTTCATCCCATGCCGTCAAAACCTGCATCTAGAGTTTCGATTTCATCAAAAACGCAAATCAGCGCATCGAGCGAAAAATACACGGGCGCACGTATAAATTGGGATGAGCAAGCGCTGAAGGTCAGCTCGACCGCGTAATGACTCTGGAAAATAGCGAATGAGCCGTTAAAGGATGAAGGGTAGTTGCGCGAGTCGTACCCTTGATAGGGATACTTGGAGCACGTAAGTTTTTGGAAATTATCCAGGAATTCAACGCCACGCGAAACGAAATTTTCTTATTTTCCATTTACGCGCGTGCCCTTCAATTGCAATTTTAGCTTTAAGTGGCAAACTTTTACTTTTTCTCCTCCCCCCGACGTAATGTATACATAGTTTCATTCGACGCACGTTTAGGAGACGTGAGCTATAATACACAAGATGCTTTAAACTTTTCTATGGATAAAAAAAAAGAAAAAACATTTGGTTGGCTGCTTTGAAAATAACACCCGCACTAACAACTCCAAACCAGAAGTATATTTCAAACGCTTTACCTAAAAGCATCTCTTCTCTCTACGACGTGCATCCTCTGTCGGAGCTGCAGGTTGGGCACCCCCTCTTCTTCTCTCTCGGGGAAAAATAAGCACACGACAGATATTATACATGAAAAGCGAGACATATATGCCTTTGTTTTCGGCACTTTTCATTATTTCCCTCTTAACTTTCGGATCAAAAGGAGATTTTTTAATTCGATTCCGTGAAAAAACAAAAACCCTTTCTTTTTTTGTATCTATCTCAGTAAAAAATACATTTCTGTATCCGAATAGATTAACACATCATTTCCTCACAAAACAAGCTCGAAGCTGAAGAACAAAGGCACCGTTCGCTCGTGTATACACCCACCGACATCGGTAAAAATGTTTACGCACGCCCCCCCCCCCC